ACAACAACGTGCTTAAATTAAATGCATTCAATGACACATATTTTGTAACACTTAACCACAGTGACAAGTAGTTCTTTAAATATCTAAGCATATTATGGCCTCAGATAACCTCAGTATAAACTTACCTTTCAGCTGCTATGCAAATTCCAAGCAGAAATTGGCTATAGATGCATAATGTAATTATCAAAAGATAATACTACAATATTTTGTACAACAGTCATAATATATATTTAGTTACACTATTGTATAGGTATTTGCAGCTACCATGTATATAACACTCACTAAAACTTAAATCATAATTCATCCAACACGTACATATTTAACTGTCTTTCCTAGTATATAGAAAGAGTATTTAAGATCAGTATGAAGGAGTGAATCAACTATGTACGTAACCGCATTCCTGACATACTGAACAATTGTACCACTAGTCCTAGAGAACCTATCTGAACATTTTCTCAAAAAATACGAGAAACCGTTATCATCATTAAATCAGTGTTCCTCAGCATAAGACCAATCAATCCTAGCTCCAATATAAAGATCTCTGTCTCCTTCATTTCTCCCTCTGTAATACAGTTGGGGAATTTAAAAAAAAAAGAATCTGACAACTCATTATTACTACACACATGACTTACAGGAGTCAAGTGGCATCATTTGTATGAACTGAGAGAAAATTTGTATCATAAAGCTATTATATCTATTTAACTACCATCTCTATATTACACTCAATACAATTAAAGTTCTACACATGTAGAAGACAAACACACTCTTTGCCTCTATCCCTTAAATCTAGCTGGAAGCTCAGAAGGTGCAGGCAGGGGCTTATCAGACAAGTAACATTGCCTGGAGACAAGGTGAGGCAACTCTGCTTTAATGCACTCTCACCTCCAATGCTGCTATTGCAGCTCCAAAAAAATGACGTGGTACTTTGTGCCCATTTTTCACATCAGAATGAAGTTCACCTTATCTCTGTGGTCTACATTAGGCATCCAAAAAGTGAGGTGACTGAAAAACATGTGCATTTATATAGAACATTGATAAAACTTACAAGACTTCATAATTGCCAAGAACCTCTTTTGGTGGAGATTTATTCCATTTACAGTCTGGAATTTCCCCATTAGGCACAGCAATGTTAAGCGTGTCATTTATAAGATTATACTTCAAGATGCGATCATTAGCAGTACTGGAAGTAAGAGAAGGGGAAGCATTAACCTACAAAAGGAAAAAAAAAAAGTCAGCATCAATTTTTTTGAGTGGTATATAGTATTCCAAACAGCATGTGTGATGACTATATAGAGAAATTAAGACTAAGTGTCTGAAAGCACATCTTTCAGTTCCTCAGACTGGAAGGAATCCCCCACTGGGTATTTTTCTTTTTACTTAAAGACAAAAGTACCACACCACTAAGTGCAGCATCAGCCTAAAAATTTTTGTTGAAACTAGATTCCCCAGGGTTAATCAGACAAGACATAGGTTTTTGTTTAATTTTCTAAGCTTATATGGATATAAACCCCCACACATTTCAGTGCTTACAATTTGCCTGGTTCACTCCAACAGCTGTTATATACAGGAATCTGTGGGGTTCTTCTAGGTAAACAGCTTTTATTTATGTTCTTAATCCGAGTTCTCCTCTGTAAAACTGTGAGCTGCAGAAACACGTATGTGCTCTCTATTCAAAGCACTACATTGCATCTTGTTTTAATTAGAACTGGGGTTCAATTAACATATCTCTTGTGTTCCACATTTATTATGGAGAAGTACCAGAACAATCAGAACAACAGATTTTTTAGTATTTTCTTTTATAAAGTCCATTTACCTTTGATCTTTCACTTCCAATTAGATTGAGAAGGAAGAGGGATGGATAAAATTTATGTTGAACGTACAGATTCAAAATTAATACACTAAAGAGAAATTTATGGGGGGGAAAGAGGGGGAAAGCCTTCCAAATATCCCAATTATCTTTTGTGTGCCCCTTTTCTTTCATCTCAACCTGCAACAGTAAGGCCATGACAGCTTTTAAAACTTAAGTTCGATGTTATGCTCCACCAAGCCAATGCCAATTTTCCAGCTACTGGTAAGAGTATCTAATAGGGCTGCTACATTCAGACTGCCTCTGCAGTGCAATTGTAAGAATACACTGGATTTAACAGATAAAACAGAAAGCCACAAACAAATAGAAACACCAAACAAAGAGGAAACAAAAGCACATGCTAGCTTGGTGATCACATGGCCTATTTTACTTCCAACATTTTTCTTAATCTACTTACCTGAATAACAAAAGATATTGTTTCAAAAGAGGAAATACTACATTGAAATCTACTTAGTTTTATTCTGTGAAATGAGAAGAAAGTGTTTTTCCTGTATTTTATATAACTTTACCTCAATTAGCCATGGTTTAAGCTTGTCATCAATGATAATGTCATATCCATAACACTCAAAGCAGTGTTTATCATTATTCATTACAGGCTAAAAAAAAAAAAAAAAAAGGACAATGTCTGTATTAAAATCAACAATTCAGTAAGTAACCTGATTACACACTTTGTTTGCCAGAAATCACGTCATTACATTACAAATCTTCTACAACAGTTTTCAGTGTTGTAACTCTAATATAAGCTTGCTAAATAGTAAGTTCAAGATTGCCTCTTTTTTCCAAGCTATATTTCAATATTAATGATTGCATTAATGCCAAGTACTAAGTTACATTAATTTTCTATTATGTTGTCATATTTTGCAAAAGTAATAACAATATTTAAAGCCTGCATGCATCAGGAGAAATCAGGAAGTTTTACAATTTACATAACACAGCTTCACATAATCGTGAATTCTTTAAACTTCAGAAAAAGAAGACTTATTCAAAATTTATTTTATTATGCTGCTGGAACTATGCAGAAATTTGAGGTCAAGCAATTACCAGATACATTTTAAGATTATAATTAACTCAAGTCAACTATGAACCCAAAAGCCAATAGAGACCAAGGACCAAGTTGTCCTTAGATGCACATCCTCTAGAGAATCTGTAGTTTCCCAGCATCTGCTAAACATTTGCAGTATGCACAGTAAGAGTTTTCTTCTATGCAAATCTCATCAGATCTTTTAAGAAACCTTTGTAACAAGTTAGTGAGATGTTTTCCCCTAGACTAATAATGAAAGCTTTTCAGTTCTTCAGGGAGTGAAAGGGGGAAAGAAGAACAAGCATCTCTCATTACATTTGCCATTATCAAAGACAGAGGACCAAAACATTTCACGCTCAATAATTCTCAACACTTTTTCTCTTCTCTTTTAAGGTTCTGCTAACATTTGGATTAAATCCCTTTTCTTGTCACATCTGGTTTCAAATATGATTGCACAGCAGAGGCTGAGTTGAGCCATGCTTCCCCCCCTCCCACTGATCCTAGCTTCATGACCTTGTCCCTCTTCCTCATGCTGATTCTGGCGTTCATCTGGTCCTTCAGTGAGGTGATTCAGCTTTTTACACTGGCAGAATACTAACCCATCAATAAAGCGAGACAGTAATTGTCAGTTGGGTGAATGAGCTGATTCAGCTCATGGTGGTGCCAGGACCAACCCAAAAAGAGATGACGGGTCCATGCACTTGGTAACAGGACAGTCCGTGGCACCAGTGAGCTATTCGGTTACCCCAGCTGACCCACAGAGCGATACCTGCTCTCTAATGTAATCATGGGATATTATCCAAACACTAGAAAGTGACTCAAGCAGGGGACTGGTTGCTACTTTTTTTTTCCCCCCTCTTTTTTTAATAAGAGTTCATGATAACTGCATGACTCATGTATAAAAGAGGTGAAAGTTAGTTATGTAACTGCTGAACTAATAGCCTTACATTTTCTTTGATAAATTGTCCTCCAGAGCTATTTTTTCTTTGACACATTTGTTATTGCTGCAATGACGTCACGTGCCTTGGCAGAGCTTAACGCTATTCACAAGGGCAGTATCAAGCCATATTAAATAGTTCACAGAGCCCTCAAGCAAAGAGATTCGTTCACTTCTTCAATACACACAGATAGCCCACCCACCTACCCAAGATTCAAGTTTGCTCAGCTAAGAGAAATCAAGAAAGAACAGAATTGCAGAAATCAGCATCAAGACTGTCAATCAAATAGCACGAAATAGATTTTAGGGGTTTTGATGGCAAACTCACTTTCATGGTTTATGAGAAGCCTGCAGCTGTAATGCTATCGCTGGCAGCATTCCAGGAACAGTACTCACCGCAACAGCCTTCAGCGACTGCACAATGATCCAGTGAATTTCATCAAATAATTTGTTTGTGACTTCCTTTCCACGGGTGCTCTCCAGATACAGGCGTAAGTTACTCACTGTCCACTTGCCTCCATGGATATGATTGTAATCATCCTGAAGAGTTAAGCAGTTAATTCAGTCTAAGATTTTGAAATTGTTCAACAGTTTTGTTTCATTCACACAAAAAGCCCACTTATACTTCTATACAAGTATTGCTCTAAAAACCAACTAAGCAAATTGGTTTTACTCTATTTCACAGCTTTAAGAAGACTTCAGCTTTACTTTGAACTGCCCTCTATATAAACAACTGTTTTTATTATAGCTGTACATGTTTATATCACACATGTGATCACAAATCAAGTAATAAATCTTTCTTAGAAGAAAAAAAACAACAAGTACTTTGACAGTTTTATAGTAAAACTTAATTTATGATTTGGAAATACAAGTTTTAAAATGTGAAAAGAAAGAATTGAACTTTTTCATCCTTTGGGGATAAGGGAGAATTAATTAAGTGAGCAACAGCTAAATTTCACTGAAGTTAGCTGTTTTAAAATGCAGCACTTTTGAAAGCGCTTGTCTGTGTTTATTCATTTAAAATGGAACTTATCTGTTCACCAAAAGGCAAACACAGCATCTTCTTAATGGTGCTGCTGAAAACAGTTACATCCAAAAAGACAGTGAAATGACACCTGAATTATTTTTAAAGCTTAAATTTTCAAGTAATTCAGTATTTTGATATACAAAACCCACTAAGTGCTACTGAAACAGAACGGGGCGGGGGGGGAAAGGAGGTTACTTTCTATTTGTCTTTTTCAGAGGCTATCAATGCTCTGCACTATATTCTCTTTAAACAGGAAGAGCAAACTAAGAGTATTCTTACTGATGGAAAGACACACATTCAGCTCTCAAATAACTCAGGAAAATTCTTCATCCCTTTATAAAGGTACTCACAGCATTTTTAAGAATTAATGAATGTATGCCTGCTAAATTATAAAACACAGAATACATAGAGGAGAAAAAGTTCTCAGAGGAATGAAATCTGTCGCCCTCTAAGCCAAGGTCAGAGAAGCCTCTATCTATTTTTAAGCTTTTTCTACAGCTCCCCCTAAGTAAATTTGGAAAACTGGACTGTACAAATAAAGATCTGAAACATGGTTCTCAGGACTTGCTGCATGGAAAAAATGTCTTGAGACCAGATTCCAGCAAGGGAACAGAGATCAAAGTTTCAACCCTCTTTGCATTTCAGAGCAAGTATTCCAATCAAAATAGATTGCAACCGGGTAGTGCTTTACGCAATCACAACTGTTTAATTAAAAATATTAAAATAAAATATTGCAGGCTACATAGAAGATCACTAACTGAAAATAATTAAGTAGAAGAATTAGCGTTGCTTTGTTTGTATTACACATGCAGTGAATAATAACTTAGAACTGCATTTGCCAGCACAAACATTAGGATGGGTATACTGACTTACCCTCCTTCCTTCATTTTCCTCACCTCGATACTAACTTGTACACTTTTCAAATTAGGGATGCTTTCCCATGAGCTGGTAGGGTACAAACACACCAGAACTCTACAGTTCATGTAGGGCTTAAAGTAGAGATTAACAGCTAGAATTTAAAGAATTTTTCCAGACCTCATCATAATTTTGATAAATTGCTTAACAGTTCAAATTAGGTTCTTCTTCTAAAACTGTACAGCCTAAGTGCCTCCAAAGTTACAAAATACCTTTAAAACAGAAGGACAGATAGGATGGACAGGGTGGCTTTACATTAACAGAAGGACAGATGGGATGGACAGAGTGGCTTTACATTAAACTTCTCTCATTTCCTTCTGCAAAACTCAACAGATATTAGTGAGTCAGAATTTATAAAATGTTTTCCAAATCCTGGAGTAATGACTCCACATTTTTAAGCTGCTACTTCTATACCCATTTCTGCTGTCCTTTCTTCTCTCAAAGTAAGCTCACCATCACTTTCACTTCTACTTTTATTTGGGAGAAATCTTGAAGGCCATTCTTTAATTGGTAGAGAAGATGAAAGGGTGCATAATAATGCAATAGACAACATATCACACGCCTCACCTCCTCACTGCTCCTGGCAACAGCACCGTTATTTATCCTCTAAGTTGTATGGAATCTGCTTTTACCACAAATAATTCTCAGTGTGCCCTGTCAAACCCTAACGTGTTTGAAGCACTTCACAAATCAGCACCTGAGCAAGAAAATGTTTGTAGTACTGAAAAATGCAACATTTAAACACTTACTCTGGTTTATAACTACTGCCATAAGTGACATTTATAATTCACATTGTTGTTACAGCAATATCCAGATAAAACCAGTTCTGCTATGCTGCCCATCTTACAGAACAATAATAGACAGGGCACATTTAGCAAGGTTGCAATTTAAGATACATTATATGTATCTTGTGTGTGAATGTATGTGCATACACATATGAATATATATGCACGAGTGTATGTGTGAGTGTACTCTTAAAGAGTACTTTTCTGTACTCTTAAAATAAAACCTATGAAATTAGGAAGTGCAACAATAGAATTTTAATTACTGTAACAGAGGCACAGCTTATAAATCACAGACATCCGCTAAAAATGCAAAAGGGACAGTCATCATCGTCAAGTGGATTCCCTGAAGAAACAAGGCTTGGAGAGTGATGGTGTACGCCCATCTGTTCATGTCACCCCTGACCCACTGGCCTTTCTTCCCACTGGTGAACTTCAGCCTATTTTGACATAGGGAAGTGCTGTCAAAGCTATCACGTTTCCACAGGTTTTATGAATGTCAATGGCAAATTACAGGACAGAACGGGTCTGCAGGCAGAACTACATCTTTGCCCATTCAAGATGAAGCCACCGTCTGGCCAGACATCAAACATTTATCTCCAAGCTCACAACTGCACATTCCCTTCCCTACCCAGAGAAGGAAGAGGCGGGGTGTGGGGGGGAAACGTAGGAAGAAGCTGGAAAGTACTGTGATGAATAAGTGCTGGAAATAGGAAAGCTGAATTAAGGGCATGGGAGAGAGAGGGGGAAGGGGAAATTAGGAAGGCGATATTAAAGTGCTATTATAAAATACAAATCCACAGGAACCAGGCTTCATTAATTCCACTGCTCGCAGAATCAATTGCTAAGTGAGCATATTAGCATTTAAATGACAGGAGGCCTGAAGAAAAGCCCTGCTTTCAATGACTGCAAGTCAATACTGAAGATATCACAGTCTATTACAGAGCTGCAACTCATTATCTTGCATACTTTTGATCTGCAGTCTTCTGAAATTTATTTATTTCTAAGTTCAAGTATTTTAATTGTGAGATGATGAAGAATATGACAAATAAAACCTTTTTATTCTAAGTTTTGGGGACAATTTCAGAAAATGAGTCTTGCTGCAAAAGAGCACCTAAGAACTCAGTACACTTACCCCATGTTTCTGAATGGCAACATTTGTAAGATGTACAAACATGTTATCCAATTCACTTGTACTTGGTGTATATTTTACTGTGCAAAACCGGCAGAATCCAAGTTTATACCTTAAATGCAAAAAGTCATTAAAATGTGTTAAACCCCAATAAGAAATAAGGAAAAGAGCATCCTAGGATACCATGTACATGTTAAATTTCTTTGTGCAACAAGCGCAACATTATTTTGACTACATTAAGCACTCTTTCAAACCAAAATACAAATACATACAATCTTACATGTAGCATCTCAGTGGACGATAAGTAGATACTAAAACATATAGACGAAGATCAAATTTCTTTCCACCAATAAGTAATGGATTGTTGATATAGAGTGAAATCACATAGGCTTCTTTGGAAGACTGAGATACAAACCTGAAAAACACAAATCATGTTTCAGAATGTGACAATTGCAACGATATCATCTGATGAGTCGTTGTCTTCTTTAGAAGCAGTCTGTAAACTTTGGAGTGACTGAAATCTTGCACCTTTTGCCAAGACAATGTATAAATTTGTAGTGGTTAATAATACACATTTGACATCAGACACTATATACCAAAAAAAAAAAAAGTTAAAATACTAAAGCAATAACCAACATCAACTAGCCATTTAAAATCAGTTTTGAAGTTAACAGGGTAGCTGATTGAGCCATTCAGAATGTAGCTCTACAAGCCACTTAGAGCTTGGCATAGTTCAGACAAGCAAAGAGTACGAATTACATTACCTTCATTAGTCAAGGTCTTATACTCCTAGAATATTTGTATTTACACTTGGTGTGCAATTGCAAGCCACTGTGAAAAGCTAAGATAACTTTTAGATTGGGACATTCTTCAGATTCCAAGTCAAACAGGAAAAAAGAAGAGAGAAAAAAAGAAGAGAGAAAAAAAGAAGAGAGAAAAAAGACTCAAGTGATATTCAGCCAGTCCCTTCATAACAGGAGAAAAGGTAACATTAGTTATGTGATCAAAACTTTTACTAGTCAGAGAAAAACATAGATTGCTAACCTGTTTCATCCATTTGGAAGCAGATCACCAGCATGAGGTGTATTATTTTGTGCTCCAAATGGATAATGTATTTCTTTCATATGAATACATTCTTTCTTTGTACTAATTTAAAAAAGTGATTTAATATATATTAAATAATTATTGAAATTGCTTAGGGAAAGGTTTTTCTCTTTCTTCCTGTTATTCAATACTATGAAGCAGAACAATTTTTTTTGTGCAACTTTTTCCCCAACAACACTGAAAGCATTTTTATAAAGAATAGTTAATTGAACAGTTCTTTCTACCTCCTCATACCAAAACAAATCGTATTAAAACCTGCTTGAAGGAGGAAGTCAGATAACAGCTGAGATTAAATGCAAAACTAACTATATAATGACAAAGCACTAATAATGGAATACTTTTGCCATGCATCAGACAATTATCATGTTGATGTGGTTCACCTGATTACAGAAAGTACAATAAAGAATTTGGCTTTTAAGAACTTACGAAGATGTTTTGCTATCTCGAGACCATTTTTTAATTTGGGAGAGTTTATTGATTAGAAAGATTCCTTTTCCTTGAGCTTTGCCACAAGGTTTCATAATCCAAGTGCTGGAGGGATTTTTTCTGAATTCTTCAACAAAGAGATTATAATCGGCAGGAAGCATAAAAGTAACAGGAACAAAATCTGAGTTAAGGGGAAAAAAAAAAAAGGTGCACAATTAAGGACACTATATCTGATAAGGCTGTTGACACATATAGACTAACAAAAAGTTTATGTCTTTTCAGTTTTCCAGTCTGGTATTATCCACCTTCATTAAAACTCATGTTGCTTTTTATCTCACTTGAATTCTAGCTTTAAGTTTTTACTTAAACAAACACTTGCAAAATATTGCATGCTGCTAACTTCAGATCAATAGATCTTAATTCACATGAATAAATTTTCTTCTTCTGTTTATATGCTGTGAAATTAGAGTATAATATACCATTCCAACTTAACTTTATCAAGCTTTCTCAATTTCCTATGTCAGCTTTTACCATTCTGCTTACCACCCTATCATCCTCTGTGTGCAAAAATGTGAATGTTGATGTTGCTTTCTATTTGGATGTGGTAATTTTTATTTCCATGTAACTTGCATTAGTCATTCTTATTTGCTCCCACAATTGGTTTTACCATGCTTACTGAAATCTAAAGAAAAGCATTTCTTGCTTTTTGCTATCAGATTATCTTCCTTCCATCCATACCAAAGTGCTTCTTTCTTACACAGATGAACAGTGCTTTCATTTCACTTTCCCAAGATGTAAATCAACTCGACATATCCCCATCTCTGTTTCACTCCAATACTTTCTGGCCTCCAAAACAACTTTACTCTCCTCATTCCTGATCTATTGTTGCTAGTTTCATTTTGGTTTTGGTTTTTTAATTTTATTTCCTAGCAGTCAATACTTGTCCTCCAACTTCCCCCAAATTTCTCCTCTGAAGAGTTTGTTCATTCAGTTCTGATTAGAACCTTCCAGCTGTTAGGTTTGCAGAAAGCAGCAAACAATTTTAGGATAAAGTGTACTTCATTTAATTGACAGGGACAGAGCATTTCAAGATAGTCACTTTAACACTTCAGAGGTTCACTGCTTTATGCACAAAATGCTAGTTCAATTCCAGGTTACTGACCACAGAGAAAAAAAGATTAATGCTGATAATGAAAACCACATACCCAAATAAATATATTTCCCATTTTCATCCTTTTCAGCAAGAGGACTTCCTTCTTTCTCAAGTTCTTTCCTATATCGCTTGATATTCTTTACCATCAAATCTTTTCTGGTTAGTTCATAATGGTTTGGGAAATGATTGACAATTTGGTCATCAGAGAGACGGTAACCAGTTTCCACACTGAAAACATTTCTGATTGTTTGGACGCTCATCCTGAAAGCAAAGACAGATACCAAATGATTTCTCCCAAGAAACACAACTCAGGAGGACAAAGTTGAATTTTTTTTGTTTGTTACATTCACTTCACCTTTTCTCTCTCATTTCTCTTTAAAGTATAATATTTCGCTGCAGTGACAATCCAACATATCCTGAACCTCTGTTAGCAAAACCAATGAAATCCCGCCAGAGGTTTTATCGATCCCTCTACTATTACTGAAATTGGGGCAGACAGTGAGGAAAGAAAAGTGACAACTTGGCCCTACTGGACTCTGTTGATAGTCAGGTCAACCCCCAGCAGGGCCTAAAAATGACTGATATGCACTCAAATGCTACAGAAGCATCTTTCTAAATCCATTACTTTGCTCTCTGGAAACTCAGCTTTCCTCTTAAAAGCTACAAAAACAACTTCCTACTGACTACTTTGCTATTATTTGGATTGCAAAGGACTTTGAGCATACCAATTGAAAACAGTGATTCAGAGATTCTGCTAAAAACACCCGTAAACACCAGATCAGAGGGCTGCAGTGACAAAGTCATCAAATCAGTTATCTACTTCATTTTTCACAGAAGACAGTAGCAGGGCCACGAATATGAAGACTTTTCTGTAGTAGATGTCTCACATTGGAAATTTAAGAATATTTTCTGAATGCCATCAATCTGCTACATTGTGATTTCAGGAAGAAAAAAACAAACAAAAGAAAACAACCAGTCACACAACAGTTTCCATGACTGCCCTTGTCCCCCACTCCCCCTAACTACATTCTAAAAGCATGAGCAGATTACTAGCTTCCTACCCATTTAGATAAGTGGTTCACAAAGGGTACATTTGGCAGCATAAATTGCCATTCTGTCTTATTTGAAAGGGACAATACAAATTGTTTGGTTTACTTGAAGAGCATTGTTTCTGCCAATTAATAGATTAGTGCATTCTAGGACAGCATTTCATGGTCTTATATTAGACAAATGCCAAATAAGAAGCTAGATTATTTACTCTCATCCTCCACCATTATCTTGATTTAATTTCACATTCATTCTCAGTATTGAAATGTTGAATAATTAGTCTGCATATAAATCATTATCACAAAGGAGAAGGAAAGTACAGTTCTCAAGGCCTTTATTACAGGAGCGTGCACTCTGGTAACAGGACAAGCCTCCGTCACATTGATAAAAGAGTACTTTTTCCATATACTGGAGCTGTATACTCTTGGATTATTTTACTTATGCTGTCAGAAAATTTTGGGAAAAGACACATTCAAAGATTCCCCTCAGGCCTCAAATCTCTTTCAACAGTAGAGGAAAAATTCTCCTTACTGCCTACAAAAAATTTTGAATAAGATCAGATATCGCATTTCAAAACAAACAAACAACACCCCCCCAAAACAAACAAACACCACCACCCCCCAAAACAAACATCACACACACACCCCCCGCAAACAAACAGACAAACAAACAAACAACCCCCCCCCAAATCACCAGCCTTTCCCCTGGGCTTTTTACAATTGGTATTCCCAGAAGTGATCGATATCTTGCTAGGTCAGTGACTTTCCACTCCCTGAAAAAAACCTTTGGCAAACTGCAAAGATACACGAGATCATTAGCATGGGAATGGATCCATGCAGATGGGACTTTCTGCCCTGAGGAACACCAATGACTTTAGCAGACCTGCACAGATACAGGAATCTAGCAATACAAATCTGAACAGAAGACTAGCAACAGCATAAGACATTACAGGAGCAACGAAACAATGTTAGACTCTTAGGAGCACTGCAGTAAATTAATGCTAACTTGTGCATCTTTTGGTTTTAATATGTGTTTGGTCAAATTACTAATGGTATTAACATAATTCACAAATTTAGAAATTGGTATTTTTAATGTACTTACCAATAAAAATTCCAGTCTTCATTTTCTGCCACCTGAATCCAGCCTCTTTTTTCAAAGTTGTTTATTAGAACAGATTTTTCTATATCAGTTACCCACTTTACTTTTCCTGCCATTGTCCTAATGCAGAATCAACCTGTTAGTAAAGAAAAGTTTAAAGATGTGAAGTTGAAAACAGGGGAGAATACAAACCAGGAAAGACAGAAGGGAAGAAAAGTAGCATCTAGAAAATACTAAGACAGACAGAAGTAAATTAATTTAAAAAAATCAAGAAAAATAACATCATAGGTTCAGACTGAAACCCTGCATTTGTCAAGTGGACAACTACAAACAAGGACACTAGTTACAAGGATCTTTCGCACTCCCCAGCCAATCCAGCTTTTATGAATAGGCACATAATTCATGTTTCCCCTTAAATATGCTAATGATGGAAATCACCATCGTGCACTTACACAGAACCAAGGGTAGAGCACAGACATTTTGTTATTTCTAACCAAGACTTATATGCATACAAGTTTTTTCGCCTTGCTTTGAAGTAGGAGAGTTCGAACAAAAATAAAATGATTCCAAGAGAAACCCTTACATGCCCTAACAAGAATCATGATTTGCTATTCTGCAAGGAAAGAAACCAAAATAATGCTACCACCGTTGTGTTGTCTTCTCTGTATTTCATGCAACCCTGGTTTTGCCTTCTGCTCTAGCTAGGGCAGGGGATAAACTGACATCACTAAACCCTTGACAGCAGGATTTCTCCAAACCTAAGGTTGTTAAAGCATTCCCTATAAGCTGCATTTCAATTCATGACACCTAGGTGTCACTTTCTACATTAGATGTCTCTCTTGTCCACATCAGCCCTTTCTGTTCGGATCACACAATCATTCTGGTTGGAAGGGACCTCACCAGGTCTCTTGTCCAGCCTCCTGCTAAACACACGGTTAGCTATGAGGTCAGACCAGGTTGCGCAGAGCTTTATCCAGCTACATTTTGAAAACCTCCAAAGATGCACAGCTTCTCTGGGCATCCTGCCTCACTGTTTGACTGGCCTCATAAGGAAAAGGGGTTTTCCCCCATATATTCTGAACCTCTCTTCTTTCAGTTGATGCCTGTTGTCTCTCATCTGCCCACACCTCACCAGGCTAAAGAGCCTAGGTCTGTCTTCTTTATAACCTCCTCATATGTACAGGCAGGCTGCTGTTTGGTGACCCCAGAGCCACTTCTTCTCCAGGCTGAAGTACCACAGTTGCTCAAGCTTCTCCTCACCAGACAAGTGCTTCAGCCCCTTCACCATCTTGGTAACCCTCCACTCTACTTGCTCAAATTTATTGACAGGGGGCTCATGTCCTCTGATACATTGTGTTACGTCCATGCCCTTTTTGTTTGAGAAAGACAACCAAGTCTAGCAAGGTGGGAATGCATGACAAATGCACCGAAGAAGGACAAGCCCCGCACCCGCAATTGCTATCTCTCTGAAGGGCAGGCTGAAGCTTCTGACAGCAGCAGGCACTCACCTGCTTGCACTCCCCTTTACAAGGGCTGTTTGGCAAGATCCCCTTCACACGGTGTCTCATATTGTGCATTAATGTAATACCAAGGAAGATGGGGGCAAAGAAACATGAACTGAAGCACGTCGTCCTTTGTGTATAGATAGTCTAGAGCCAAAAGCCCACAATCCAGCTGATGTGGACAGAACACTACACTGTATACAATGAACAACATATTTACCCCATCTCTAAGTAAACGGTGAAGCCCAGCCTTCCAGGATCTAGGCCTGATTGATCTACAACTATTAAGCAAGCTAATGTATATTCATGAGCAAATGATAATAACTGATAAAGTCAAGGGTAGACAGCTCTCATAAGCAGTTTCAATGTTGCTATTTAGTCTTTCTGCAGTTCATTCCACAAATTAGTTTTACAATTGCAGCCTAGTGAATTTTCATAGTTACATTTCACAGATATCAACTGCAGAGAAGTGCTAATTCAGAAGAAAATCTCTGTGGGCCAAAAGCAGATTCTTTGGCACACGCCTCTCCCAGGAATAAAAACTGCCATGCAAGGCAGTGGGAGAGAGTGGAGTCACACACAGGTGTGTAACACCATCTACTGTTCCCTCTACATATACTTTTCCATTGAGAAGTCAAAACTTCAAATCAACTTTACTAATGCAGTAATGTAATTAATACAAGTAAGCATTGAATGCAGTTAATGCAATTTCTGCAACTAAGATATTGGACTGGAATTCAAGGGGTCTTCAGTTTCCAGGACTAGATGTGGAGATGTACATCTGTCAGCAAGCTAACACCCCTTCGGTTTCTCTCTTCCTGGGAGGCATAGCCCATTATATAGTGCTCCCGCTTTTTCCTTCCTAGACTATTTAAACTGCCAGACTCCAGTAGGCAGAAATATTTACTATTAGACTTTAATTTTAAAATGTTTGAGACACGCTTATTTTTATTCACATTGGTAAAACAAGTTGAAATCAAGCTTAAATAGACAGATAAAAAAGAGTACATGCAGGCTCACGGTCTTTTTGTGTCTGATTATACAACACCTAGTTCTACAAGGTCATGATCTTTCTCTAAGCCTTCCAGATACTACGACAACAAAAATAAATGAATCAAAGGGATTCATTTATTTGTATTGAAGTACGTATGATTCACAGTCAGTGACTCACTAGTATCACACACCACCTTGCTGTGGTTTTAAAAGTTCAGGGATTAGTCAGCTTGGAATAGAATTGTCCCTTCAAAAGGAAGTGCGTTAAATGCTACAATAGCACTAATAAAACACACCATAAAAATCTTCAAGAGGCCTTAAAATCTGTCCTCCACATCTCCAAGCTACTCCATTAGGTTTACCAACTTCCAACGCCGATGTTATACTGGCTGTGCCTCTGTCTTTATAGAGGCACATAGCTGCTGCCTGGCAAAGATTAAGAGACCGGGTGCGCTGTCACAAGCAGGGCTACTTTGCCAACACTTCTAATGCTGCAACCTCATTTCTACCCTGGGATGCAACGGCCGCCACAGCATCCTTTCTATAGGATTCTTTATGAAGAGATTTCAATGCATGCTGCACATGCTAAGGCAAGGAACCCTGAAAGATTGCATGTACTGATCCAGCAAGTAGATTTTGTGGTAGCAAGTGGGACTGCTCCATGACTAGTTGTGCTGTCTGACTCTCAGAGAATTGCACTGCTTGATTTCAGAAGCCACAGACAATCCAACAGAAGTCTCACCCACAGGAAGGTGAGTTAAAACTAAACCAAAGCTAAAAATTGAGTTAAAACTAAACTAAAGCTAAAAATTGAAAATAACTTCTACTGCAAATAAAAAGAACATTACAAGAGTGTTATTCTTTTCCTGTTTTGGGAACTTCAGGCCTTACAGATCCATCCTGCTGCAGGAGGATTGAAAGGATAGCAATACAACAGCAGGCTGAAAAGTAGTCCTTGGTTTATGTGGCCAGATTGATCATCTCAGAAGATGTTTAACCAGCCTGTAAACATAATCTTCTGGTTTTGTGTAATTTAATTACTGAAACCCACAAACAAGAAGTCACAGAAATATAACTTATATTAAGCTGTACCAAAAACTTTCTTATTTTCAATAATATAATGTTAATGCTATTTAGTTTTCCATAGGACTCCTCTAATCTGAAATTACATATTCTAGACAATTCGATGAGATTGCACAAGATAACCACGCATACAAACTTCTGGTCAGCTGAGATCGTTAGCTTCAGTAAACATCAAAGAGCTACATAGTGCAGCCCTAGCCAGTGTACAGTAAGTCCTTCTCAGAGCAGCAGACGACCTACTCAGGAGACAAGAAGTACGTAGTATGGGCACAGCAGGCCTGACACTTCTCCAAAGCACTGCCTTTGCTGCACAGACCGGTCCCAGGGGCAGCACGTAAAGTAAAACATAAAAGCCCAGCAGCAGCCTAATCCAAGGCGAGGGCTTCTTGCCCTGGCACAAATTCATGAGGCTTTTGCATCATGGTGAGAACCAAAAGCATCCCGGTCATCATTACCACCGCTACGGAAGCTACTGACGCTGATCGCAGACCATCTTTTCACGCTGCAAAATAAGTGAAAGTAAGTGATGCTGGTGTCTACGGCACCTGGTCTAGCAAGCTCTATTTGCTTCTAACAGTGGAAAACATTAATTGTGGCTCATTATTAAGTTTATTACTGGAAAATCCAGTTCGACTGATGTGGTCCTGCCATCAGAGGGGACCGGGAGGGCCTGCCAGAGGGATGCCCAAAACATTAGGGATAGCAAGGAGCCGAGGACCGAAACAGCCTCATCGCTGAGCTGTCGGAAACCAGGAGCCCGGGGGAGCAGGAGATCACCAGCCGCCCCAGAAGCAGA